GCGAAAAATAAGAGGGTCGTCTGCGCCGACATTCGCGCGTAAGCTGCCCGCGCAATGTCGCTCATAGGCGCCCCCGTCTCCATTGTGGCGTGCCGCGCCAGCGGCTCGCGTAAGCCGCCGCGAAAGGTCGTTGCGTCAACTCGCGTAGAACCCGTCTTGGATCGTCGGCCAGATGCCCCTCCCTTGGCTAGAGTCAACCCGCATAGTGAGAACGGGCAGCCCTCCCAAGGGTACCCTCGCATCCCTGCCTCCTCGGTGCCTCGTTGGCCACTCTCCGTGGGTCGCGCCCCGCTCGAGAGCCTCGAAGTGGGCCTCCGAGGGCGCCTCGCACCCTTCTCGCGCCTCCTTCCTACACAGATCGACTGTGTCCTCCCCTCCTGCCCCTGCCAATTGCCCGCCCCCCTCTTGGCAGCCCTCCCAAGGGTACCCTCGCATCCTTGCCTCCTCGGTGCATCGTTGGCCGCTCTCCGTGGGTCGCGGGCCCCGCTCGAGAGCCTCGAAGTGGGCCTCCGAGGGCGCCTCGCACCCTTCTCGCGCCTCCTTCCTACACGGGCTGACTGTATCCTCCCCTCCTGCCCCTGCCAATTACCCAAAACCCTAAGCCCTAAGAACTAAGAGCCTATAAATACTTAAATCGTGAAGCTCTCACGGACGCCCTTCCGCGCCCCTTATGCCGCCCCCCATTTCGGCGCACCCCTCACGCAGATTCTTGGCCTCGGAGTGCCAGGAATGGCGTTTCGGGAGGAGATGCTGACATCGGAATGCCAGACATGGCGTCGTTAGTCCTTTGCGAAAAGTACGGGCGCGACCTCGACCCTTTCGGGTTGAGCGCCGCCCCCGTGCCCTTTCCCAGGGGCCGCCCCGTGGAGGCTGGACATGGCCCCCTGGGTTTCCGAGCGGCTATGGCCGCCCCGTCGCGCTGACACTCCGCGGCGCGCTCAAGCGCCACGGAGCCAGCGCGGCAGGACGACCACGGCCGCCCAGAAGCCCCCTTCCCTCGGGAGCCTCTCGCCGAGAAGCTCCCGGAGGAAGGCGCAGCTGCGCCTCGTCGACGCTTTTCTGGGGGCGCCGCGGTGGGCGGCGCTGGTGAGCGGGGCAAGCCGGGTCTCAACGCATCGCTACGATTCCGCCGTGGCGCGGTGGAGGGCTCGGCCCAGCGCCAGCGACACGGTGTGGAGACAACATCGTCGTCGTTTTGAGATCAATATGTCTTGGGTCATGGGTGGGTGAGACACGTCCAACAGGCTGCGAGTTTGGGCTAGTGGATTCTCTAATCTTATGATTATTAAACCCTGAACATCCTGGCTCCACGCGTCCCGGTGTCATCCGAACTCTTGCGTGCATAATCCATAGCAAAAATACTATTTCCTGGCAGCCCTGGGTGTAATCCAGCGCCATCCCTTGCAAGAAATACGATTTCCTGATCATGCGTGCTGTAAACCCTCGCCATCCCTTGCAACATATACGAGTTCCTGATCATGCGTTCTGCAGGCCCTCGCCATCCCTTGCAAAACATTTTATTTCCTGACATCTCCTGTTCTAACATAACAAATCTCCTGTCCATTCTATGCAACAACTATTATGTCCTGATCACGCGCATCGAATCAACCCATGCAAACCCTCACCATCTGCGAGCGGGCACGCACGGAAACGCCCTCGCGCCATGCGACTTCATGCAACCAGCCCATGCAAACCTTCACCATCTGCGAGCGGGCACGCACGGAAACGCTTTCGGGCCATACGACTACATGCAACCAGCCCATGCAAAGCCTCACCATCTGCGAGCGGGCGCGCACGGAAGCGCCCCCGGGCCATACGACTACATGCAAGCAACCCAAACCCTCACCATCTGCTCCCAGGCGCTCCCAGGCGCTTCCAGGAGCCCCGTTCCATGCGCTCCCAAGCGCTCCATGCGCTCCTGGCTCTCGCGTACTCGCTGTACGCCCAAGCGTTCCTAAGCTCTCGCAGGCGCTCCCAGGCGCTCCCCAGCGCTCCCAGGCGCTCCCACGCGCTCGCAGGCGCTCCCAGGCATTCCCAGGAGCTCCTAAGCGCTCCCAAGCGCTCTCAGGCGCCCCCAGTCATTCTCAAGCGCTCCCAGACGCTCCAGGCGCTCCCAGGCGCTCCCAATCGCTCCCAAGCGCCCCTAGGTGCTCCCAGACACTCCTTGGCGCTCCCAGGCGCTCCCAAGTTCATTGCTCTCTCAGGCGCTCCCAGGTGCTCCCAGGCGCTCCCAGGCGCCCCCATGCGCTCCCAGGCGTTCCCAGGCGCTCCCAAGCGCGCCCGAGCGCTCCTAGGCGCCCAGACATTGCTTGGCGCTTCAGGCGCCCGGGCACTCCCTGGCGCCCCCAGGTGCTCCCCGGCGCTCTCGGGCGCTCCTCCCAGGCGCGCCCAGACACTCCTTGGCGCTCCCAGGCGGCCCCAGGCGCTCCCAGGTCTCCCAGGCACTCCCAGACGCTCCCAGGCGCCCCCATGCGCTCCCAACCCCTCGCAAGCGCTCCTAGGCGCTCCCAGACACTCCTTGGCGCTGCCAGGCGCCCAGGCGCTCCCAGGCGCTCCCAGGTGCCCCCAGGCGCTTCCAGGCGTCCCCAGAAGCTCCCAGGCGCTCCCAGGCGCTCCCAAGTGCTCCCAAGCGTTCCTAGGCGCTCCCAGGTGCTCCCAGGCGCTCCCAGGCGCTCTCGAGTGCCTCGGGGCGCTCCCAGGCGCTCCCAGATAGCGCAGCGTCGCATAGCATAGCACGGCATGGCGCAGCGCAGTATAGCGCAGCATAGCATAGCATAGCATAGCATAGCATAGCCTATACGTATGTTGTACTCTTGGGTCCCGGAAAGTTGGGGACTTTCGGTTGACCTATTTGTCTGTCCGTGCATGCACCCACTCCTATACTCCATCCTGCTATATCTGGCCATACCCGGGCAATTTTAGCTACCTCACTGGGGATCTAATTTCGGCTGTTCCCTGTGCGCAGCCCGGTCTCATTTCGGCTGCCGCGTTCTCTAGGTTTCGAACAGCAGGCATTAAATTCTATGAGGAGCTGACGTACCGAACACGAGCCTGAGACATCACGCCAGGACTTTCTATGTGGCCTGACTAGTATGCGACTATTACTCGCTCGCACCCTGGGATCATTGAACGGACGAGGGCCCTTCAGATGTTGCTGCCCATTGTGGCTTGTGAGTCTATGCGCGTGTCCCCGGCGATCTGTGCAAGGAGTGCGTGGTCAGACAATTCTCTATGTGTCGTTGCTTTTTGTCGTAGTTCTTCGCACCTATGCATCATGCATTTCTGTGATAGCTCATGCAGTCGACCACGCTTGCATATTCTAGCCCTCCGAAGCGCTCCTGGAGCGTGTTGGGCCATCTTATCTTGGAATTCCATTTCGGCTGCCGCGCTTTTTAGGCGCAGCCCGGTCTCATTTCGCTCTTGCGCCTTCTCTCCTCCCTGAGATTCGTCATCTATGCATCTGCGATTGTTCATCCATGCGGGCATCCACTTCGCTTCTGTTGTCTATCTGGGGTCCAATGAGTCGCTCGGCTACGCGCGTGCGAGGGGCGATCGGTGCAAAGAGTTTGCGGCCATACAATTGTCTATGTGTCCTTGTTCTTTTGTTGTAGTCCTTCGCGCTTATGCATTATGCACTTTTTGGATTGTTCATGCAGCCAACCACGTTTGCATATTCTATGTGTCATTTATTGTGGGCCAGATGCCTCACGGTTGCTCTTACTCGTGGCCTTCGGCCCATCCCGCCACGCCGTCGTCACTCGTCGATGGGTCAGGGGCCTCATGGATGCATGTTCCGCATGGTGCTATTGAATATGCTTCGTTATTGCGCCTTCTCGCCTCGACGACGACGACGATCGACGACGACGACGACGACGACCGCCACCACCACAACCACGACCACGACGACGACGACGACGAGTGACGATCGACGACGACGACGACGATTGACGACGAGTGACGACGATCGACGGCGAGTGACGACGAGTGACGACGAGTGACGACGCGTGACGACGAGTGACGACGAGTGACGACGAATGACGACGACGACGACGACTGACGACGACTGACGACGACTGACGACGACTGACGACGACTGACGACGACTGACGACGACTGACGACGACTGACGACGACTGACGACGAGTGACGACGAGTGACGACGAGTGACGACGAGTGACGACGAGTGACGACGAGCGACGACGAGCGACGACGAGTGACGACGAGTGACGACGAGTGACGAGGAGCGACGACGAGTGACGACGACGACGACTACGACGAGCGACGACGACGACGGCGTAGCATAGGATAGCATAGCATAGCATATCACAGCATAGCAGCATAGCATAGCATAGCCTATACGTATGATGGCTTGTCTATATTTAATGGCCGTCGGCCTATCCCGCATCGTGCCTTGGCAGGTGGGTATGGGTGGGGGGGCCTCACAGCCCAGCATAGCACGGCACAGCATAGCACAGCATATCGTATCACAGCATAGACAGCGTAGCATAGCATATCATAGCATAGCATAACATAGCATATCATATCCTAGCCCATGCGTATGATGTACTGTTGGGTTCCACATAAATTTGGGAAACGCATGGTGTAGCACGGCATATCATAGCATATCATAGCGTAGCATTGCATAGCACATTGTAGCATAGCATATCGTTGCACAGCATTGCGTAGCATAGCGTAGCCTATTCGTATGATGTGCTGTTGGTCTCCCCTAAATTTGGGGAGCTCATGGCGTAGCACAGCATAGCATAGCATAGCATATCCTGGCGCTCGCGGTACTCGCTGTAGTGCTAAAGAGGGGGGGGGGGGGGTGATCTTTATGGTTGGGTGGTCTGCGGGTGAGAACGACAGCCACCGCAGGTGGGTTCGCAGGCAGGAGGGGATGCGGCCAAGATAGGATGCGGCCAAGCCTGTTGAACCCTAAGCCCTAAACCCTAAACCTATCCTCCCCTCTTCCCCCACCAAGTGCCCGCCCCCCTCTTGGCAGACCCGAGCCCTGCGGCCCCTCGGCCGGGCCGCCCACGGCCCGCCCCGTTCCGCGCCCATGGTGCACGGGCCGGGCGGCCCTCGCGCGGCGCGGCCGCCGCCCCCGGCCGGCCAAGGCCCGCGTCTCAAGCAGTGGCGAAGCGCCCCGGCTTTCCCATAGCCCTACCAAACTCGACTAGACGTAAGAATAACCTTTCGCCGGAGTGACATTTGGTGCGGGCACAGATGAGTCCCCAGATGGCGAAAAACGAAGTAGGAGCAACAGCTTGCGCGACTAGGTTTGGTCCCCACGCGGCCCCCTAAAAACCGCGCACCAAAGGTCACTCTTACCTAGGGTCACTCTTGCGCGTAGCCGATATAGCCCTACCAAACAATGTTCTAAGAACCTGTTGTGGTCACCCTGGGATGTTCTCAGAACATTTCTGGCGGAGTCTGTCTTGTTTTCTCACATCGGGCTTCTGTTCTAAGAACATGGTTGTTGTCCTTGGAGCATGTCTTTGTTCTAAGAAAACTTCGTGGTAGGACTAGAGGAATGCTCAAGCGTCGGCGGCGACGGCGACGGCGACGGCGCCGTCCATGGCAACGGCGATTCCGGCGACGGCGACGGCGGCGGCCACGACGACGACGACGCCGCCGGCGGCCACGGCGATGACGACGACGACATCGACGACGACGACGACGACGATTGCCACGGCGGCGTCGACGGCGACGACGACGGCGACGACGGAGTCTGGCCATCCATGTTGGCAGTTCTGCACCATCCTCTTTCGCCCTCCCTCCCCTTTGGGACGGCCTCGGGAAGCTCTCTGGGGCTCTAGGGTCCGATGGAGTTTCCGGGAGATTGCCTGGAAGCCCCTGTAGATCCTTGGTTGCTCTCCGCAGCCTTGGGCAGATGTGTGTAGGGTGTTGGATGCGGGGTGTGGGGGGAGACGGTGGGCAGGTATGAGCTGGAAGCGGCCAAGTGCCCAGCGGGAATGTCACAAGCTGCCTTCCTCGCTTCCACGTGTGTATGTATGTATGCATGCATGCATGCATGTATGTGTGAGTGTATGTATGTACGTATGTGTCTACTTATGTCTGCCTGTATCTATATGTATGGGTGGATAGATGGATATATGGATATGTATGTATATGTGCATGTATGTATGTGTGTATGTGTGCATGTATGAATGGCTGTATGGATGGATGGATGGGTGGATGTATTTGTGTATGTGTGTATGTATGTGCGTACGTATGTGTGTATGTATGTATGGTATGATGGATTGATGTATGTATGTGTGTATAGGTGTATGTGTATGTGTATGTATTGATGGATGGGTTTTTATATCCATACCTGCATACATTCATGCATGTACGTATGTATGTGTATGTGTATGTGTATGGGTATGGGTATGGGTATGGGTATGTGTATGTGGATGTGTATGTATATGTATGTATGTATGTATGTATGTACGTATGTATGTATGTATGTATGTATGTGTGCATGTGTGCATGTCTGTACGTATGTGTGTATGTGTGTCAGGATGTATTGATGTATGTATGTGTATACGAGTGTGTGTGTATGTATGTATGGACGGATGAGTGGATGGATGTGTTCAGGTATGTCATGCATGCATGCATGTATGTATGTTTGTGTATATAGATGCATGCATGTCGGCATATATATGTCTGTATGTATGTGTCCATGCATGCATGCATGCATGCATGTAAGCACGTGTGTCCGTATTGTTGTGGGTATGTGTGTACGTATGTATGTACGTATGTATGTGGGTGTATATGTGATTCTGTATGTATGCATGTATGGATGGATAATGGATGGATGGATGGATGGATGTATGTTTGTACGTATGTCTGTAGGAATGTGTGTACGTATGCATACGTATATTTACACATACATATTCACCACATGTTTGTATGTATGCATGTTTGTATGTAGGTATGCCTACATGCATGCATATACGTAGGTATATACATGCATGTATAATTGCATGTGTGCATGCATGTATGCATACATGCATGCATGTATGTATGTGTATGTATGCCTGCCTGTATGTATGTATGTATGTTTGCATGCATGTATGCATGTATGTATGTATGTATGTATGTATGTCTGCATGTTATGTATTAGTATGTATATACACATGTTGCATGCCCCCCCCTGGATGGCCGCTACCCCATTCCTTGTTGACGATGCTCCGCAGCCCCGGGGCACCTGTCGGAAGACCTCCCAGACCGTCGAAAACGCGCCCAACACCGGCCCAAGATGTTCCCAAGCTGGCCCAAGAGGCTTCCAAGGCGCCCTATGATATTTGCCAAATGGCCCAAGAGATCTCCAGGAGGGCCCAAGACGGCTTCTGGACGGCTGCAGAGGTTCTCAAGACGGCCCAACGGGCTCCCCGGAGGGCCCCCAAGAGGCACAAATCGTCGCACTCTGGGAAACGTACATTTTGAGCAAATTCAGTTCGTCGGTCCCAACAGCATGCAAGACGACCCAAGAGGCCCCCCACATCGCCCCAAGACAACCCAAGAGGCCCCTAAGAGGGCCCCAGGACGTCCTAACAGGGCTCCAAGAGGGCCCAAGAGAACTTGAAAACGGCATGAGACAGGCCCAACAGAGTCCCCCAAGGGAGCCCCAAGAGGGCCATCTAGGAGGCCCCGCAGACGGCCCAAGAGGGCCCGAAGAGGGCCCAAAGACGGCCCAAGGCCCCCCAAGACGGCCCAAGAGGGTCCCAGGACGGCCCAAAAAGGCCCCCAGCTGGCCCACCCGAGCTCCTTATTCCGGCACGGCACCGCCCCCCCCATCCCGAGTGCCCCCTCCATCACCCCATCCACCAGCCAGCGCGCCACCTTGGCCTCCTCCCCCTTTCTTGCGGTGCAAGAGCCATGGCACGCGTGCCACTTGTTCCCAAATTGCGTTGTCGCGCGGGAATTCTTCACAATTTGTATACGAATCGCGCTCGCGCGTGGGACTTCACTCCCTCGCAGTTTATTCCGACGATGCGCCCTCGGCGCTCAGGAATCACGCTCTCGCTTTGGCTTCTCTTACGATTTACTTGGGAATCGCGCTATCATTCGAGACTTCCTCGCGATTCATGCAGGACCCACGTTTCAGCAACCCTCCTGCTCGACCTGGTCGCGTGGGCCTGCCTTCCTGACCTGCCCGCTATGGGTCTGCCCACCCGATCTGCCCGTCTGGTTCTACCATTCGTTTTCTGCTCCTTGCACCCATCCTGCTAATTTCTCTTGTGCTCCATTCTTCGCCCTCCCCCCATTCCACCCGTCTTCTCTTTGTTTCAGGGGCTGCACTAAATGCACGTGGCAGGTAAGGAAGATATGCCCCTAAAGGGATACGATCGAAGACGACGAGGGCGGGTAACGAGGGTTTGGGATATACGTGTTGATCGGCACGCGAGCAGATAAGAGCGAACAGTCGTAACATTATTGTTGTTGATGGTGTTGGTGTTGGTGATGGTGTTGTTGGTGTTGGTATTAGTACTAATAGTTTTCATTATCATTCGTATTACCATCAATAGTATTGGTGATGATGTTGTTGCTGCTGTTGTAGTTGGTTTTGTTGTGGTGGTTGTTGCTTTTGTTGTTGTGCTGTTGTTGTTGTTGCGCTGTTGTTGTTGTTGAACATTATTTATTCTAAAGAATAATTATTGTTGGGCCCCCTGGTGCGCGCCCCCCCTGCGCCGCCTAGGCCGCAGCTACATTTTCATCATTTTCGTGAGGAAGCCTCAGAAAAGAGGGTGTGTACAGGATCCGGTTGTTTTGTTGTAATCCGCTTTCCCTTGCAAAAAACAATAGAAAATGACATTTCTTGTTCTAATATAATCAAATTTCAAGAATCCCTTGCAAAAAATAAGGTAAAGTGGACATTCGCGCGCGCAAGACGAAATCCTTCCAAAACCTTAGTGTTCGCAGCGATTTTAACATAAAAACATCAAAAAACCAATGGTTTTTCAACAAAAAATGTCAAAATCTCATCCCGCGCGCTCTTGCGGATTCGTAGGAAACCCAACACTTTTTAAACATTTCTGTCAAACGGGCTTTTGCGAGCAACTTTTTCGAACTTCTGCGACAACGGTTGCGCACCTGCCAGGGCCATCATCCCTGTCAAATAATACCATGCGGGACACATTCGTTTTTTCTTCGCGCGCGCACGCCGAAATCTCCAAAAACCATTGGGCTTCTTAAGAATTTTAGCACCGCGCATCATAAAATCACACGAATCGCACCGTAGGTCCTCGAAAAACACCTGCACGACTTTTCAAAATTTCTACCCGCGCGCGCTGTCCGAATCCTAAAAAAACGAATGGTTTTCCAACATTTATGTTACATGAGCTCGCGCGAGCTACTTTCGCACGCTCTTGCAACGGGGTTCGCGCCACCGGGGCAATCATCGGGACAATCATCGGGACAGTCATCGGGACAACGATCGGGACAAGCACAACCATCAGGACAACCATCGGGACAATCATCGGGACAACGATCGGGACAACCACAACCATCAGGACAACCATCGGGACAACCATCGAGACAACCATCGGGACAACCATATCCTCTCTCTCTTGTGTATTCCCACATCCCTCAGGAATTTGCCCTAAAGATGTGATCAACTATCTTGTGAGTACGTATCATGTGTATCATGTGTATCATGTACCATATGCATCATATGCAACAGATGTTCTGTGGAAGGCTTAACAACTTCTGTGGGTTAACAAGGCTTAACAACTTCTGTGGGTGTACGAACGTAGGCTTAACAACTTCTGTGGGTGTGTACTCCACGCCAGTGTAGTAGCCACGGTCGTCCGCAGGCCACGAAGTGAAGTGTCCGAACGTCATAGGGCGGGAAGCTGGGTGTGGGTGGTGGCGAAGAGTCGTGTGGATATTTGGTAGAGCTTGCACTGCCCCCCCACAAAGTGGGGGTATTGGCTGGCGTCGCATGAAAACCCTGGCACTGGTGAGAACACTGAGCGTTCGGGTAAAGTGATTGTTGTTGTTGTTGTTGTTGTTGTTGTTGTTGAACATTATTTCTTCTAAAGAATAATTATTGTTGGGACCCCTGGTGCGCGCCCCCCCCCGCCGCGCCTAGGCCGCAGCCACATTTTCA